AAGAACACTCAGACTGAATAATGCTTCCCTTGTGCCAAATCCCTGTCTAAACCCAAACTGTGTGGTGCTGATCTCCTTTTCACATCTGTTGTATATTCTTCCGTGAATTATTTTTGTGAAGAGCTTTAAGACCTGGCTCATTAAGCTGATCATTCTAAACTGGTCACAGTGGTCAGCATTGGGTTTTTTTGGTAAGGGTACGAACACCGAGTGTAGCCAGTCCTGTGGTATTTGACTCGACTCATATATGTTGTTGAACATTTGCACCAAGACTTCAATGTTTTCCTCGTCCAGCAGTTTTATTATTTCTATATAAATCTCATCTGGTCCTGCTGCTTTTCCCTGTTTTCCCTGTTTAATGGCCTTTATGATTTCTGACTTTAGTATTTTGGGTGCGGTTTCGCCAGCGCAATTATCCGTAAAGATTCTCTGTTCATTTTCGCGGAATAGTTGTTCGGTGTATTCTTTCCAGTGGTTCAGTAGGCTGCTAATGTCAGTTATGAGTTCGTTACTGTCATCTTTTATACTATTTGACTTGTAATGTTTTGTACGTCCTGTTGTTTCTTTTACGAGCTTGTGTATATTGAAGTGGTCATGCTTTTCTTCCATTGTCTCGATCTCAGTGCACTTATCTTCCATCCACTGCTCCTTAGCTCTGCGTATTTCCCTTCTGATTTGTTTATCAATTTCTTTGTACTTGGTTTGATCCCTATTCTTACACAGACCGCGCTCAGCCATCAGCGACAAAATCTCGTCAGTCATCCATCTCCTCCTTTTGTATGTAGGTGGTCCAACTATGTTATTTGTAGTGGTGACTATTGCGTTCTTCAAACGGTCCCATGTTTTTCCGACATCATCCGGTGGTTGAGGCAGGGTCCTGATTTTGGCAATTTCCCTATTTATTTCCTCCTTTGCTTCCGCTCTTATCTCAGCTTTCTTTAATTTGTTCATGTCGACTTTCTTTCTCGGCGCCCGTCAGCACGCCTCCACAAACATGCAAATATTGAAGAGTTTGTCAGTATTTCGAGTACACTAGCTGGCTCAAGTCGCATGATGTAGGTTAGATTTCGTTTATTTTTGTTCGAACCTTTAAATCGTTTTAAATATGAATGAAGAAAAGCTTATTTTACTGGTACAAAAGTATCCAGAGCTGTGCGATACGAGCCAAGCATTTTATATATAGAGACCAAGAAAGAAAAGATGCAATATGGGAGTCGATAGCAAAAAAAAATAATTAAATTTGATTTGTGACATTCGAAAATATTGGAAAAACTTTTCTTCGAATCTTTTTAATTCAGGAAACAAATAATGAAATTCGCCATATTGCTTTCTCTTTTGATTTATAGGGTGAACCCAAAATCTTCTTTTTTTCTTAGCTTCCTTCTCTTCCTCCTCTTCTTCACACAACATGGCTAAAATAATAATTTCTTCCTCTGAACTACTCATTTTCAATACTTCTATGTTGCACGCTCTAGTAGTTGAGCCTTGACAACTGTACTTTTTTCGAAACTCTCGCTTATGTTGCTGGTCTGTGGCGGTAAAGTGTGCGATGTCATGCAGGATGCAGGTTTGTGCTGTGCTGGTCCGTACTGGTCCGTGTAGGTATAGTGTGCGCGATCTTTAAAGGTTAATAAAAAGTCACAAAATAGAACTTATGTATGTAAGATACTCATTGCCATCTCTTCTTGTCTAGAAAAACCTTATTGGAATTCTGAGCCTAACCAAAATAATATACAAGAAAAAAGAATATAATAAAAACAGTCAACTTTCCATCTTAGAGACTATAAATGCTATAGTGTCCTCTACTCCGGTCCTCTAGTAAATTTGAACTTCGAAATACAGTCTGAAAAAATAAATAATACTTGATATGTTGATATTGAAATTAAAATGCAAATAATTATAATAAATGAATGAAAAATAACTATTTTATTTTGTAGACTTTCTTGCAGTGGCGAAATACCCATATAGGATTTTTTGGAGAGATCGTTAATATTGATCGACCCTGTATATCACAGTAAAGTCAATTCCCGAGCAATCTCTTTCTTTCCTTCTCTGTTCCCATTTTTTTTCTCGTTTTGTCCCCCGTAAAGTCCGTTTAAAAATCCCGCCAGTTTATAAAGCGGGCGGCACGCGGATTTATTTCCGGTTTTAAATCGGAGCGCAATAAAAAAGTTGATTTTTTAAAGCGGGAAAAAACAGCAGCAGCTCAAATCGGTCCTGTCACGGTTCTTTTGTCTTTTTTTGTTTTTTCGGGGTCGGGAAATCACATTAATATAAAGTGAGTTTAATTTTTCTGTTTGGCGATTTAAATGTTTTATTTCCGGTTCGTTATATAAAACAATTTTTCGTAGTAAATGAAACAGGAAATAACCTCGAACTGCCTTTTACATCGATGATGAGTATGTCAGTAGCAAGACACTTGCAGATTTTTTTGTTTTAAGCTCAATTAAGCCGGGACCCCATTAGCCAACACCCGACGCGATGCCACGCTATCCCACGTGTTGCGACGTGGGAATGGGTGTACACACTATGTAACACGTGTTAACACGCCTGAAATTTTTATTAGAGTTAAAAACGTTATCAGTATGGTTGCGAAAATACTGTATCGATACACATACCGATATTAGATTATAATCATAATACCCGTACACCAATATATTCAGAATCGAATATCGCTATTATTAAATCTTTCGGGGATCAATCTTTTGCTGCCGATTTTTTCTGGATCTATCTTGTTATATCCGATGTTGAATCGATTCAAAATATCGATTTATTTTATTTTTGGGATATCCCTACATTAATTAGAAAAGTAGTAAGCTGCGGGACTAGAGAGGCAAGCGGAGAACACACGTCGCCGTAGTCGAGGAGATCTGGGACCGACGAATTGATGCCCGGACCCCATTAGCCAACACGCTACGCCACGCGATGCCATGCTACCCCACGTCATGTAGATCAGTGCCTATGTTTTTCCATTTAATTACATGTATTGCGTACACACTATGCAACATGCCACGCCATCCGACGCTATAACACGCTATGACACGTGTGATGGTCGATTCGTCGGTCCCAGATCTAACCGACGTGCGTTACGGCGTTCCCCGCTTGCTTCTCTATTCCCGCAGCTATCTACTTTTGTAAATGATGTAGGGATGTCCCAAAAATAAAATAAATCGATATTTTGAATCGATTCAACACCGGATATAACAAGATAGATCCAGAAAAAATCGGCAACAAAAGATTGATCCCCAAAAGATATCGATATATATCGACATAATAATATCGATATTGAATTCTGAATATACTGGTGTACTGGTATTATGATTATAATCTAATATCGGTATGTGCATCGATACTTCTAGTATTTTCGTAACCCTACTGATAACGTTTTTAACTCTAATAACAATTTCAGGCGTGTTAACACGTGTTACATAGTGTGTACACCCATTCCCACGTCGCAACACGTGGGATAGCGTGGCATCGCGTCGGGTGTTGGCTAATGGGGTCCCGGCTTGACCATCACACGTGTCATAGCGTGTTATAGCGTCGGATGACGTGGCGTGTTGCCTAGTGTGTACGCAATACATGTAATTAAATGGAAAAACATACGCACTGATCTACATGACGTGGGGTAGCATGGCATCGCGTGGAGTAGCGTGTTGGTTAATGGGGTCCGGGCATTATTTGTACTTGTAGCCCGTCCCCTCTACTATCTCTTACTTGTTATTGTTCTTGACAAAAGTCAGTATCTGAGACGGTTTTATAGATGTTAGTTCTCTATCTCCGATACCAGTGGTACCAAAATTTATGGTCGTCAATATATCATGAATAGATGGGGCTTCTCATGATATTTTTTCACCCCTATAACTTTTTTATTTTTTCAGATAAAAAAACGAGATTTGGTATGTTAGTATATGACATAAATTAGGATTGATTGACGTATTCAATTGTTTTTGGTCACTTCCTGTTTCACCGGAAATGACTACAACTTTTGATTTTTAAATAGCACCGTTGGTACTTCTTTACTTTATTCGATAGAAAATGACATTCTGAATAGAATGACATATCTTATATATAATTACAAACCGCAATGTCATTTTCTATCGAAGAAAGTAAAGAAATACCGAGGGTGCCATTTAAAAATCAAAAGTTGTAGTAATTTCCGGTGAAACAGGAAGTGAGTAAAAACAAGTGAATACGTCACTCAATCCTAATTTATGTCATATACTAACATACCAAATCTCGTTTTTTTAACTAAAAAAATAAAAAAGTTGAGCTACTTTTGAGACGCACCCGGTATAGGCAGTTCGGCACTGCAAGAAAATCTACAAAATAAAATAGTTATTTTTTGTAAACACTTATGCGTTAATCCAAACAGAAACTACTTGTCAAAAGTTAGGTTTACAGATATACAAATTTGCCTAACGAACAAAAAAATGCTTAACGTTTCGGAAAGTTCATCTCTTGCCGTCGTCGGAAGCAAAAAAATACAAAGAATAAAGATAAAAACTATTTAAAATATTTAAATTCAACTATTCGAGAACACTTTAGTTTTTTAAAACAGATGCGTCTACAAAAACCGTTGACGTTCTGTTAATCTGATGACAAATTTTTACGTGTGTTATGTTCTTTAAAATCAAAGAAGCGATTGCTATACATTACTAACATCTACAGATGCATGAGAAATACATTTATTTTTATTAGATTGTATTAAAAAAGCCTCTTTTATTTTCCTTTTTTTACTTGCAAGGAAGCAAGGAGGTTTAGATAATGTGAGTCTCTCATGGAAATAGTAGTAAGAAGTCAATTTATGCCAATCAATCAAATCAGAAGCTTGAAATTGGTTGTTAAAGACGAGTGATACTGTAATATCTGGTAATATTATCATCTTTTATAGTCTAAATATCGATGTTTTCAGGACTAATCCAATTCCTAGGCCACCCTGATCGTCTTCAAGGTAATTTTCGCCTGTAGGGCAGTTCGGCAGGTCGGGCGATCCGTCGCGAATGCGTCCGATCGCTCCTGTGGCCGACGCCGCGCCGCCCGCGACTCGCGAATCGCACTGTGTGTCGTCTGTCAGTCTTGCACGCGTCTCTCCGAAGAGATAGACGCTCTAGACGCCCCCGACTGCCGACGTCGCGACGCTCGTGCCGACGAACAACCGCGTTTCACTCGCTGTTTTGGCCGTTGTTGGATCGGTCTCGAAAAAAAACAATAACATTGTCGGATAATTGTGCGTTTTTTTTTCTCGTTATTTGAGGAGGTTTTTTTTGTTTACCGCTGGTTTTTTGGAAGGAGTTGTTGGATTTTTCGATTGGAAGGTGGGTTTGTTTGTTTTTATTTTTGAAATACAATATTTTTAATTATATTAAACGGAATTTTTGAGTAAAGCAGGTTTTTTTAAATAATAAATTATTTTTATTACATTTTGTTGAAAAATTTTGAATATTGTCCTTTTGATTGCGATATAAGTCCTTTTGATTCTTTTGGGCACCAGACTATTTTATTAAAAAATCCGAATATATTTTTTTTATTTAACTGCCAGATGTGAATCAAAGATTTTTAAATGTGTCAAATTTTTCCATCGTTCAGGTCCAAACCAAGTGTCTTATACAACATTTTTATTTAGTATTTATTATAAACATTTGTTTTATATATATTTTTTTTTAATTCCGGTTTAGAAATGTCAATCTTCAATGCTCGAGATATTTTAATATGTTTTATATCCAAGATTGGTTTGATTTTATAAAAAAAAACGGTATTTTTTATTTAATTTTATGGATTTAAGCGCAAATTGTTGAAAAAATTACCATTACCCTTGTTTTATAAGGCTGTTACTTATATTTATATTTTTTTAGAGCGGAGTAATTTTATTTTATTATAAAATAATATGTAATATACTTGTTTTTTATTCAGTTGACTGATATGATACAAAAACATTTTTAATTCGCTTTGTTTATTTATCTATACTAATATACAGGGTGTCCCAGAAATAATTACAAATATTTTAACTGGTAGTATAGTTCAACCCCAGAAACGCGCTTATGAGTTTTTTTTCGCGAAAAAAAAATTTTGAAAATTCGAAATTTTTTGAAAAATCTTTTGGAATTTTTTTTAGTTTTTAGTTAAAAAAACATAATTTCTTGATAATATGGCAACATGGGTATTATATTAAATTTACAAGAAAGAAAATCCAGAAAAGATCCAGGGGTTCTCAAAATTTTAGCAAAAAATATTTTTTTTGGAAATTTTCAAAGTAAAATAACTCCGTTATTTTGGACTTATTTGAAAAACGATAAAGAGAAAATATGTTTCTTTTATCGAGATCTACCACCCCTTAAAATATTTGTACTTATTTCTGGGACACCCTGTATAAAATCCTTAAGTGACTGACATACTGATTAATCACGATCCTGCTCAAACCACTCAACGTAAAAAGCTCAATTTTGGCATACAGGTTGATTCTAGGGTGTATAGGTTCGATAAGAAGGGATTTTTCGAAATTCCAGTTCCAAGAGGGTGAAACCACCCCTCAAATATTACAATATTTTTTTATTTAAAAAACGGTCAAGTTTCCGAAAAAACGCTTAAACACGTATATTTTATTTTGTTTTTTTACATATTTTAAGATTTTTTAAAAATGTATACAGGGTGTTTCGAAAAATCTGGTCATTGATTAACCACGATCCTGCTTAAAGCGCTTGACGTAAAAAGCTGATTTTTGGAAAACAGATTGAGTTTAGGGTGTAGAGGTTCGATAAGAAGGGATTTTTCGAAAGTCGAATTCTAGGGGGGTGAAACTAACCCTCAAATATTAAAATAGATTTTATTTAAAAACCGGTGAGTTTTTCGGAAAAACTCTTAAACACGTATATTTTATTTTGTTGTTTTACATATTTTAAGATTTTTTGTAAATGTATACAGGGTGTTTCATAAAATATTACCACTGAGTAATCACGATTCTGCTTAAACTCCTTAACGTTTAAAGCTGATTTTTGGTAAACGGATTGACTGTGGCGTGTAGAGGTTCGATAAGGAGGGGTTTCTCGAATCTCAAATTCCAAGAGGGTGAAAAAGCCCCTCAAATATTACAATATTTGTTATTTAAAAAACGGTTAGTCTTTCGGGAAAACGCTTGGGCAAGCATAATTTATTTGGTTTTTTACATATTTTGAAATTTTTTAAAAAATCATACAGGGTGTTCCAAAAAGTTGGGTAATTTCTTAACCACGATTCTGCTTAAACTGCTTGACGTAAAAAGCTTATTTTTGGCAAAGGGATTTTTCGAAAGTCAAATTTCAACGAGATGATACTGCCCCTCAAATATTACCAAGTTATATAATAATATCGCCATATTGTTTTTCTTATGCTGACATAAATGTGAGAAAATTTTATCGTTTGTATGATGTTAATGGAAATTCTTGCTTTGCTTTATTATCACCCTTACAAATGATTAATTCGACGCGAACGAAGTCGCTGGTACACGTTAGTTTTTTATAAAATAATATGTAATATATTTGTTTTTATTCAGTTGACTGATATGATACCAAAACATTTTTAATCCACTTTGTTTATTTATTTATTTATAAAAAATTAATGTAGCTGACCTAGATGCGCATAGGATCTATTATGCTATTTAAACATACTTCGAAATAAAGTCATGTGATTTCAGACAGATTTTGTTATTTAATATGAAATAAAATTGTTTATTATTCTGAACTGGAACAGAGACTACCTGTGCTTTAAAAGCGCTCTAGCATTATAATATCTACATTAATAAAAACTATCTTGCAATAAATGCAACAAATGTTTCGTAGCAATATTGCCTAAATATTAATATTAATGTTGAATAACAAATTCATTGAAGTAAATTGCTTATTCCATTTTTATTTTATAGAAAATTTAATTATGCTTAAAAATATCAGATTTTCTTTTTTTTTATATTTCTTTTAAATTCTAATGAAATATAGAGGTATATTTTTATGGACACTAGTTTTCCAAACCATAAAAATGTAAATTTTTATCTAAAGCACTTTTTGATGTGATTTTTGAAAATATTTTCATTTTTATTATTTTCAAGTGTGTGTTTTATTTATTTCAAACTAATCAAAAAATATACAAACTATTTAACGTATTCAACGCTAACTAATAAAAGAAAGATACGAAAGTATTTAATTTTATTGTTTGAACAAAATTTTGAAATCTTGGACTTTCTTACAATGAATTAAATTCTGATAACTTAATGATTTGTTATATTTATTAATGACTAACGGCAGATAATTCTATTAATTTTAAAATTAATAAAGAAAGTAAATATTAAGCTTGATAATATATATATATATATATATATATATATATATATATATAAATTCGGGTCAGAAGTCCTACGACGTTGTCCGATGCCTAACTTCCACCCTGTGCGATTTTCCCATTGATCTTCGGTCAGATTTTTCTCGCTCATCGACCTTATTCCTTCCATCCATGTTTTCTTGGGACGTCCTCTCTTTCGTTTACCAGGTGGTATCCAATGAATGACTTGTTTTGGAATTCTTTCATTGTGCATTCTCTGAACATGGCCGTCCATATTAATTGTTTTTGTTCTATATCATTTACTATTGTTCCCTCTATTCCCATCTGTTGTCTAATGTCTTCATTTCTGATCTTATCCCTCCGTGAAATTCTCATTGCTCTTCTAATCGCGTCCATTTCTGTTGTCTCTAATTTCTTTTTATTCCTTTCAGTGAGTCGCCATGTTTCACATCCATAGAGTAATATGCTATTAACTAGTGTCTCGTATATATTATATTTCCTGTTTTTTGTAATTTCAGTACTCCATAGAATGCCATTTATGCATCTGATAACTCTTCGTGCCTCTATTACTCTGTTGTTTATTTCTCTATCGTCCGTTCCATCTCCTGTAAATATCGATCCCAGGTACCTGTAATCTTCACATGCCCTAATTTCCGTATTATTGTCCAAAATAAGATTTTCTGTATTGGATCCAATTGGAAGGTGTTTTGTTTTTTCTGTATTTACTGTGAGACCCCATTTAGCGTATTCTTCAATTATTTTCTGCACCATATATTCCATGTCATCTTTGTCGTTTGCAATTATGGCCTGGTCGTCTGCAAATTGCAAGGTGTATAGGCATATGTCATTTAGTTCTATACCCATTCCGTTACATTTTCTTTTCCAGAGATGTAAGGCCTTGGCAATATAAATTTTAAATAGTGTTGGGGATATACAGCAACCCTGTCGGAGCCCTTTAGTGATAGAAATTTCCTCTGAGAGACCGTTGAATTCCTTTTATACTTTTTTAAATTTTCTTACCGTTTCAGAAAAAAAATAAATAAAAAATTAGTAAAACATGGTTGAATTTTTTATTCTTTTGATTTTTAGAATTTAAAAATAATTAGCCATATTTTCATATTTTTTTGAAAAGCTTGAACAAGCTGTGTATACAAAAAGTTTTCTCAAAAATGTTAATAATAAACAAGTTTTTCTCTTGTAATACCATTCCGAGGATATACTGTAAACAAAAAATCTTGTAAAGGTGATAATTTTCTGGCATACAAACAAATTATTATGGATCGAAGGGTAAATTTGAGTAGCCTGGAAACTGGTAACCATAGCTTTATCAATACAAACATCACATAGACCCTTTTGGGTTTATTTACATTTGGAGTTTCGGTTTATTTTTGTATAATTAGGGTCTGAAATAGGTCTTAACCTTAACCTTAAGTAATTTTTAGGTGTTAAGTTTTTTACATCACTTATTTTACACCATTTTATTTTGTTCATTTTTGGCTAGAGAGGTATACACTAGGGCCGGATTGTACAGGGTGGGTCAAATTCGACGCTTTTAAATGGAAACGCCCTTTTCTATAGGAGATAGACAAAAACTGATATCGGTGTCTGGAGTTCAATTTTCATCAAAAACATGATGGTGAAAACCGCACATCAATATCTGTTACCGTTTCGGAGTTACGGGGTGTTTTTCAAAAATGTGCACTTTTAACAAATCGCTGTGACTTTTTTGCTACGGAAAATTTTGTTTTTCTATGAAAACATTTCCAAAGCACTTTTTTACGTAGAATTTAATGGTTTAAGTATATTTTTTTTTAAATTAATAATTTAAGAGTTATCAACAGAAAAATTGATTTTTTATCTGGGACACCCTCTATATTTTTAATTAACTGAAAATAATTTAAAGTTACCTTTCCAAAAATATAGCACACTTGATATTTTGTTATAATTCCCTTCGAAATACAGAATTTTTAAAAGTTCGCCACTTTTAACTAGTAGGCTTTGGACCCCTTAA